CAAAACATATGTTCGAACTAGCAACACTACTGCGGATGGACAAAATCCTGCACCACTTTGAAAGCATGGTTGAATCCATTGTTTGTTGATATTTACAGGGAATCATCATTCCAGGGTTTCTTAGGTGGTGCGAAATGGATTTCGTCCATCCACACTATGGGTTGCCCAGAAGGTGGTGGAACCACAACCGCGAGTCTCTTTGTGACCCTTGACAAAAAATGGCATGGTTGTTGGGACACATTTTTTTGTTTAAGCATTTTTGCTTATTATGGTCTAGTGGGAATTCCCCACTTATCTGCTAAAATTTGTTTTTGTTGCTCCCCTTCCAACGTCAACCAAGATGGAATCCGACCCATCGGGACGGACGGTGACTAACCCCAGCCAGTCGCCAGGTGCGCAATTGGTCGCTCTCACTGACGCTGCCACGCTTCTCGCGAGGCCGGGCAATGTCTCATGGCTTCCTATGGCGTCCGAAAGGGGTGTTCCCAAGTTTGAGCTAGGTCTCCCAGTAGTGCCCTTCTCTCCCCTTTTTTGGGGGGGGGTTCCCCTACTAAAATAGACGAAGCAGAAAAACATGGGTACCAACTTCTTCTAACCTCTCAAATCTGGAGGACCTAGTTAGGATATCACGTCCTGCCAAGATGGGTCCTGCCATGTTTGCAGTACCGTTTGCCGATTTCGTCCATCAGTTCTGTCCTATACCCTGAATATCTGGAAAGGTGGGAGGGCGACCCCCGGAATATGTGAAAAAGGAGCGGGGGCGACGGACCGCGACCTTCCCTGTTCTTTGGTGTGCAAGGCAGAGCAGGCATAGAAATGTCCTAGCGACTTCGGCTGAAACAAATGTCTCACGACGCTTGATGTGATGGGGATGTGTCCGCGATTTTTGCTCCAAAGGAAACGCCAAAGGCTCCACTGTTTGATTCTGCTGAGAGATCCGAGAACATGGCGTCGCGTGCGCCCCAAATGGATGGCTTTGGATGCGAACTGATTGTCATGGTGTGAGCTTTGATCCATTCAGGGAGTGCATGGAAGTGCCCTCCCATGTGTTGCTTGCCATGTTGTGTTGGTTGCTCTTTGGTTTCACCCAAGCATCAAGTTCCTTGTTTGGAACACGGTTTCCCAGCAAGGCCGACAGAGTAAATGCGAGGATTAGGGTCGAGCTCATTGTTTGCAAGTGAGCTACCCCACCCAGTCACATGGAACCCATTAAAGGTGCCTTTTAGAGTGGTCTTCCACCGACCCCTTCGGCTTCCATGTCCGATAGTATTGGACAGGGGGGATTTGGCTGTTCAAGTCAGTGGGGAAACTTAATTTAAACTTAGTTTAGCATTCTGTTCAACTTTATGTTGAGGGAGGCTGTCGAAGTCGGTTGGTGGAAACTTTTTTTGAAATTGTTGTCTCATTCTGTTCAACTTGTTTGGAGGGAGGCTATCAAAGTCAGTTGGTGGAAATTAATTTGCAGTTGCTCCTTGTTATGTTCCACATTATTCTGAAAGAGGCTCGCAAAGTCAGTTGGTGGATACTTAGTTTGATGTTGTTGTCTTATTGCGGTTGGCTTGTTTGAGGATTGCGATCGAAGTGGGTTTTGGAATGTCAATTGGATTTTGTGGTCTTGTTCTGTTCAACTTCATTTTGAGCCACAATCAAAACCCGGGTCAATGAAGGTTAGTAAGGGACAATCCCAACCATAAATGGCCGACCATTTTACCACCGGGTTTTGACCCTCACCCAATTTGGATGATGAGAATCCTTAGGTAAATAATGGTGGTTATACTAACCAAACCGTTGCTTTAATGGTGGCAACTGAACCCCTCAGCTTCTCACTAATTGGTAGTTCAACTTCATGTCAACAGATCGAGGCGAGCTGGGAAGCTCGATACTGAGCCTCCCGCCCCTGCCAACGCTGAGGCGGGGGGCTTGAGAGAAAAGAGATCCCAACACATCCGGCTGTGGTCATCTTAGCTCATGGTTAGTTCATTGCCTGTTTACTTGGCGGTTCCCAGCCGGCCAGGTCCTCCGGTTTTTAGGTTGAGTGGTTAGGTTTCCATTCAACCCACAAAAAGTGAACAACAATTAAAGCAGGGGATCAGAAAACGAACAGCCCAGGCTTCAAACCAGCACAAGGGGCAATTTGCTTACTGAGTCCCAAGCTTGAGCTGTTTGTCTTCCTTACTCCGAATTCAAACATTTTGCGAAGCCGGCTCACTCCAATTCCAGACTTCATCTTTTTATTGGATCCCTGGGAAGACTTCAATTGCTCCATTGTTCACGACTCTTGACTTGTGGGGGCCTCTCGAACAGGTAGTTTCCATGTTCGATGTGTTTGCAGGGGGAAACAAAAGGAACGCCATCCAGAGTTTGTGTTTGTTGGGGGGGGGGGTGGTTGTTGCGCGGACTAGACGTCGCTTCCCTGAGGCGTTTTCACCTTGTTTCGTCATGTTGGCTTGCCGGGGCCCTTGGGACGGACAAGGGTCCACACCCATCAACTGTTCCCCAGAACATGGCATACTGCTCACCCGATTGGGTCGGTATTTTCTTGGAGTTGGTGCCCCATGTTTGGTCGTTTTAGAGGGACACCAAAAGGAAAACTACCATTTTGGAGGGACCGGTCCCTCAAAAAGAGACACCCCCACATTTTCCTTTCGTGGGGCACGCGATACATATTGGAGCACATTGTAGCGCGACCTCACCAATCAAGTGCTGCGACTACACCCATGACGCTGATTTTTCTTGGTGGTCTCTTATTTCCAGTTGGTTCACAATTATGACATGATGGGCTACGTTTTGACATAAGTGAGCCCCGCAAAGGCCCCCAGTGAAAGTTGAATTGTCAGCAGGGGATCAGATCTGAGGACAGCATCCCCTCAGGTTTTGAGGTTTCAGTGGTTGGATTCCCATTTCACCCACAAGTTAGAAAACTTTTAGCAGAGCATCAGATCAGATCTAAGGACAACCCTAAAAAGCAACCGGGTAGTTGAATTTCACAGGTTTCTGATACTCACGTTTGTTTGCCTGACATGCCCTCACTGGATGGCTCTGTATCCAAGGTCTTTGGTCTCTGAGGCACGCAGGGAGTGGTGCTGTGGACATCCGAAGCCGATGCCGGAGGTTGGTGCCTAGAACCCTCTTCCTCCACCAATGCAATATGGGTGTATTTGGCCTTCCATTGTTTCCTTGCAGCGTCCAGTTTTCCAAAGTTAGATTGTGCCTTTCACTTGTTGGCTCTGTTTGTTCGGAGTTGGCACCCCTTATTAGGGTTGGTTTTCTTCAAGGGACGGCAAGGGGAAAACCACAACTTCAGGGGATCCCAACAAAACCATTGAGTTTCCAGCTCTCGGTGGTTGAATGCTCGGATCCTACAGCTGAATTTCGAATTGGGGAGGCCTGCAGAACTGAGGCTGTGTGTGTATTTTGTTTTGGGGAACTCTGTTTTGCGGGTCAAAAACATGGGACACCAAAGTTGAAAACCGTCCTGAGCAGGGTTGTGGGATCACTCGGGGTTTATCCCCACTTCTGAGATGCAAGTTGGAATCTCCGCCTTGGGGGTTGGTCTGGAAGCCCTTTCTGTATCACAGAAGTGGATCCCATTTTCCACAGCCCTGGAGTCCTGAGTGGCTAGGTCCCCCAGTAGTGCCCTTTAACCCTTTTTGGGGGGAGGCTTCCCTACTAAAATAGACTACAGAAAAAAGTTGGTAGCCTTATTCCAGCCTCTCTACTGGAGGACCTAGGTGGGTAGGTTCAGGTCCTCTTCACAGCTGCCTTTTTTGTTGTCACGCTAGTGGTACAGCGAGCTCCATGGCCTGGGAGGCTTGTTAGGTTGTAGGCTTACAGTACCCGAATTCAGGTGAATGAATTAGAATCCCCCCCCCTGCAGAAGCAAAACACAAGAAAGAAACAAAAAGTCAAGAAATTGTGAAGTTTGTCCAATTTAAACTGGGCCCTTTTCTGGATCTAAACATCCTGAGCTCGTACCCTGTGACATGGGGCTCTACTTCCGCCCGTATTTGAAGCAAACATGGTTGTTACAACATGGTTGTGTTGGACAACACCAAGCAAGGGGTACCAACTCAAAAAAAGGCGAACCCAAACCCACATGAGATCTTCGCAGCTCTGGCTTAACGCAAGCCTTAGCAATGCAACCGTCGGTATGAATCAACCTAAAGCAAGTTGAGACGAGAGGGTTCGGGGCCCCCTGCATCTTCCCCCTACGTATATTTTGGAAGCATGCTCTTGTGGAAAGTGAGGTTTCTTTGTTGGGCATGTTTTTTAAGGGGATAAAGAGCATACAACAGACAAACTGCCTCTTGGCTATTTCCGCGTACTGCTTGAAGCTCATGGCAGCTGCACAGCTCCATGATAGAACGCTGGGACTTGGGAGCACACAGATTCTTGCAGACTGAAAACGATGCAGTTGGGGGTCTGTCATGCCTCAACGCACTAGGCACATGTACTGATCCTTTGGTGTTTTCCTATGGGTTTGTCTACTGGGAAGCCTCGAAAGCCGGTGGTTTCCTTTGTGCTTCCCATAAAAGCCCCCCAAGAAAGCTTGCAAAAAGACACGAACCTGAGAGAGGGTCCGTCCCTTTAAGTGTCCTTTGATGGAGTATTCTTGAATCAGACAAGCCCATATGTGTCGTACTTCGGGGTCCCTTTTTTTTCTCGGAAACCAACAGGAAACACCTATATTGTTAAAATCAGACACACCTATATTTGTCTTTATTCGGGGGTCCCAGCCATTTGTTGGTTAAAAATAAGCTCAGGTGATATCCCCAACAGCATGTGGAACCCTGGTGGAACCCTGGTGGAACCCTGGTGGAACCCTGGTGGAACCTGGTGGAACCCTCGTGGGCTGAGACCCCAAATCTTTCAGCTGTTGGGGGAAAAGAACAGCAACAGGCAACCAGCCATTTGTTGGTTCCGCTTTAGAGAAACGCCCACATCCGACTTGAGGAGAACATGCAACGCGATCGAAACGATCGAAACCATCGAATCGCGCCATGGCTTCGGCTCTGGTCGCTCGCAGGCAGGGGACCCAGTGGCTTCCTTTTTCAACTAGGTCGCCCAGTAGGGCCCTTTCTCTCCCCTTTTTGGGGGAGGGTTCCCCTACTAAAATGGACTACAGAAACAAGTTGGTTTATTCTAACCTCTCTACTGGAGGACCTAGTCAACTTTTTTGGGAAGGAGTCGGCCAAAGTTGAAGTTGAAAAAAAGAGCAGATATCAGGGACCCCACTTACGATCCAAGCTTGGACCTGGCTCGAAGAGGCCAAGTGTTTCTGAAACCCTGGGCCCTTCCTTTGGATTTCTGCCTCGCGCCGCGCGCCGCGTCTGTCTGGGCGAAGAGCAGCCGCCCACTCGGCTCCTTTCTTCCGAGGCTCCGCCAGGCCGGGTCCCCGGGGGTCAGGGGTTCAGGGGCCAGGCGCCAGAGACGAGCCGTCCCTTTAGAGAGAGAAGGCCGGGGGGTCCCAATCTTTTGTATGGTGTCCCCTTCTGAAGGGAACCTGTCAGATACTGGAAATAGAGTCCTGTTTGTTTTTTTTGGCACGGGGCTACAAAGCAGATGGATGCTCCCATTTGGAGGTACTGGGACCCTCCAAAAGTCCAACCTAGCTCACTCCGTGGGTTTCAGGACTTCATGTTTTTTGGGGATTGGACCATTGTGGCCGTAAACAAACAGTTTGGTTGATTTTTCCAGCCAATTAAGAAGTAAGTTAAACATGGGTTATAAAAGCTGCCCCAAACCACTTTCAGCTGTTGGAGACAAAAGGCCCACTTCGGCTTAAATTGTACCTGCGCTCTCAAACTATACCTATCAAACACCTTGTTTTTTGTTGGGCAATTTAGGGAGGGTTCCGGAGGGTTCCAGGTCTGTTCGGGATATCACCCGGGCTTGGGGTATTTGTTTAACATATATTTGTGGTTTGGTTTTTGCCTTCTTATCATGGGGTTCTTCCCTTCAATATCCACCAAGGTTCAAGTCCTTAGGTGAATGAATTCCTTTCCAGGCCTTCGCCCTTCGCGCTTGCGGTCCTTTTTTTTGCAAGGGGATGTCTGAGGGGATGCCTGGGCGCAGGTTTCTTGGGAAGAACCTCGGAGTCAACCTACGAATGCTTCCAGTTGCTATTAAGAACATTTTAAGCTTCCCCTGGTTCTAAAGCTTTGGAATCGATCGCTAAGCGACATTGACAGCATTGGGGCCGCCGGCCAAATCTTGGGCCCCGGGTCCTCCCAAGACCAACGAACTGGCAATTTCTGAGTTGCTCGAGCCACAATCCCCTGGGTGTTTTGTGAGGGGTATCCTTTGCAAAGGGAAGCCAACAGGAAAAACAGCACGCGTAGTTGTAGGGTCGCCCCTTTTGACCCAGTCCATGTGACCTTTGTTGGTGGCTTGGATTGGTGGATTGGGATTTGCACCCCTGGTTTGTGGGGGGAAACCAGGGACTGCTGGCCGTCCGCGCATGACGGCTGCACGAGCTCACCATGATTTAGCTCCTGAGGAAAACTTGGGGATCCCTTATTTCAGGTTTCAGCATTTGCGTACGACATGCACATCTTAGAGTTGCTCTGTCGAATGAGACTGTTCTTCGGCTTGGACCCAAAAGCCCCAAAGGGGTTGCTTTTCTGATGCCTTGACTCAGAGGCAGCTCGACCCCGCAGCCATGTGTCCCCCGTGCAAAGACGTGCTGCTTGCTCACATTTGATGATTGGAGGCCTTAGTTTCAGCTGGCGAAAGTGTCAGGACATCTTTAGAAGAAGGGTGTGTTCCACTGGCTTAGCTGCACCCTGGCCGAGCCACTTTTTTCAACGACGCGGTGTGCTGCTTGCATCTGCTGCTTCCGAGTTTGGCAGCGTCACCGTTTGCAGGACCTGTCGAGGGCATGCTGCGGTGTTCGCAGCATTGGAAGGCCTTGCTCCTCTGCTCGCCGTCGAGGTAAAAATGGGTCACTGCTTTCGGCGGTGCGGAGCGGGTCCTAACTGTACGGTGGAGACAGCCCAAAGGAATTGCTCGGATGACATAAACAGGATGTACGGAATCCTCCAGAAGAACGGCTCCAAGACAAAGATGGTCTCCAACGTAGGAACATTCGAGCGCTGCCTGGACTTGCTTCGGGAGGCTTCCGCATCTGATCTTCGGGATCTTCCGGCAGTTGCGGTACTGCGCGCCCGCCTCTATTCGGATGCCCTAAGGCACGAGCTAACGGCCTGGAGAAGTCCTCAAGTCCTGCAAGCAGCAGAGACATGCCTTGCAAAAGCCATCGCCTTAGAAGCTGGCGCAACAGACAAGACTCGGCTAGCTCATTTGCACCTCATCAGGGCAAGGCTGTTGGGTAGCCGGGCTGTCGGACGGTTCCAGGAAGCGCTTCATGACTGCTCCACGGCACTTGCTGCAGTTCCTGACCACAAGCAAGCACACCTGATGCAGGCCAAAGTGCTGGAGCAAGCTGGCCAATATGCAGCAGCACTTGCAGCGTATGAACGTATGTTGGCGGCAATTTCTGCAAGGTCAAGTGCTTCATCACAGAAAGACATTCAGCTTCGACGGCAGCTTATGCGCCTTATTGATAGGCTAAGAAAGATGGAAGGAGTCGAGCAAGAGGAAAAGCAAGTGACTTTGTGCATGTAGCGTCAAATCTGCAAACCCCGGTCATGTTCCGCTAGAAACGCCATTCTTTCTTTGCCCTACTTGTACTCTGTAATCAAGGGGTTGCAAACTGCATGTATCGATTGTTCCCGGCTGCCAGTTTTACAGATTGTTGTCGTCATAGCACCAGAAACGGCTTCAGGCTGGCGGTAAAGGGCAAGCAAGGCTTGTTTGTTTACTTTCTTGTCATGGGTTACGCACATGGTGGTACAGTAGCAAGACATCCACACATTGAATATTCTTGGCCGTTGCATTTTTGCAGAATCTGTGCTTCACCTTTATTACACGGGGGTGTCTTTTGTTAGAGGACCCCGAAACATGGGCGTTGTTCCTTTTGGTTTTCCTTTAAATCCACAAAGGGTACTCTCAAATATCACAATAAAGATTGGGCATGCAGATATAGGATCTGCGTGCCTCATGCTTTTGTTTCTGACCACCTCGCAAATTACAGTCAAGTGAGTTATATGTTTATTCCTCCCCCGCAGATCGTCATGGAACCCAGAACAGGGGTCCCCCAAGAGGAGATTCCGCTGCAACCGATGGTTTTGGCAGGGTTCAATGTGAATCTGCAGCAGTGTAATAGTTGCATTCTGTATTGGAGTGTCCAAACTTGGTGTCCCAGCTGCGTGGTATGTCATGCATCCTGGGCTTGTTGTCAGCCCTTGTTGTCCCAGCACCCCTGGCCTGCCAGTTTCCGAACATGCCTGGGCTGCTCACGTGCGAACGTGCAGATAAAATCAAGAAACACATGCCAATGTTTTTGTTGCTTCAGATTCCAAGATGGGAGAAGGGTGTGGGGCCTCGCATGCGCGACACCAGGCGAGTGCTGCTCGCTTGATCAGGCGCACACAGATCGCTTGTGCTTTTCTTCGGCCGGACACCTGTCACTTTCCTCCTCACTAAGCATACTTTAGCAGGACTTTGCTCTATCGCCGCAAAGAAGGGCGATAGGGGTGTGTTTGCGTGTTTCTGAGGGAACCTTCTTCAGGCTGGTTAAAGAATAAAACGGGAATCCCACAATTTTTGGGGCCCAATTTGGACAGCATTTTTTCCGCAGTTACCACCTGTATACCTTTACGCTGTTACCGCTCGGTCTCCAATTCGGAACTCTGGATTTGGACGACCATGCTCATCTGCATGAAGCAATGCCCCACTGAAAGGTCCCCACGCCACTAGTCTGGTCCGCCGCATTCCCAAGTTGACATATCTGTTTCTCTTTTCTTGAGGGTAGCCCTCTAAAAGTGTGATTTGTCACGGGGAATTCACTTTTCTTGGCTCCCAGCCATCCGATGGTTTTTAGTGTTTAGTGGCTGGGTGTCCGAGTTGACTAGCCCACAAGTTCGTCATTTTTAGCGGGGGATCGGAAAACGGGCAATCCAGTTTTGAGACAAAGCCATTGGGATTGTGCAAGGCGGTTTGGCGGCTTTGGCAGCGAGGCGCGCATCGGAGAAGTTCGGGCGGGCCAACGAGCCAAGGTTGGGTGGTGGATGGTGAAGTGGTGAGTGTGTGTAACTTAGGAAGTTGACATGTTTTTTTTTTTTTTTTTTTTTTTTTTTGGTATGTGTTTAAAGGTTGGAAGCTGAGCAGTCATGTTGGTATAAGATAAAATAAACCAAATTGTTGGCATTGTTTATCCGAGCATCTTCCCGTTAGTGTCAACGTCGGATGAAAAACCCCTCCCCCCCTCCCCCCAGAAGGCAAGAAGGCCGTTCAGCGGAATTGAGGACGCATCTGGAGATTCGCTAAAGTTTTAATTGGGCTTGAAATCAATGGTTGTCTGGAGGCCCCTAGACGAGGTGGGTTCCAAGTGAGTGCAACTCTCAACATTGGCTCTCGCAGGATGGGACATGTTCAGTGACGGTGCCAGGGGGTGCCAACAAAAGTTGCATGAGAAAAAGAAGAGACATTTTATACGGATCCATCAATGCAACGGAGCGTTCCGTTTCCGCCTGACAAAGGTTCAGCCTTGCATGTGTTCGTCTTCAGTGCTCTCAGTGTTTGGTTCTCTTTCCCTGTTCAGTTTGTCTTCCTTCTTTTTGTTTCGGGGGGGGGAATGTGTTTCTGACACATGCTAAGCTTCTGTCCAAGAGGAACATGTGAGCCACAGTCAAAACCCTGGTAAACAAAGTTTAAAGGTTTGTAAGGGACAATCCTAACCATTAATGGGTGCATCCGCGGTTTAGTACCAGCTTTTGATTGTGACTCACATGTGTCAAACGAGGTGAAGGTGCTCCAGCCGGCATTCATTCATGGGAGATGCCGGGAGGGGAATCGTTGATCTTGCGCCAAATTCTGTGAGGCCATGACACTATTCAGTTTCCCTACTTGGGTTTTCGGCCAACTTAGTAAGTTGTTGGTTACCTAGGTTATTTCCCGCTCAAAAGCCTCCTTAAGTGTGGTTAACCCGGTCAGTAGTGGGTGATATCCCATTTGGCTAACCACTTTCTAACTTGGCGAATCGAACATTCAAGTACTACCCTTCCTCCAACTAACATGGCACCTGTGGGGAGGTACCTGGAAGATTCATGTCCTTTTGAGGGGAGCCCCTGTCAGTTGCCATGTTAGTTGGAGGGAGGGTTTGCAGGTTTTGGAAGGGGCCCAGGAGCATCCAAGATGATTCCATGTCAGAGTTGCTCCGAGCCGCATCCTTTGCAGCACATAAAGAAGTACTTTGTGCCGATCGGGCCTGTCTTTGGTGCGTTCTCCAAAAAAAGGGAATCTTCCATACTCAGCTCATCCCCACCCACACAACCAACCAACCAACCAACCAGCCAGCCAAACAACCAACCAACCAGACAACCAACCAACCCAACCGACCGACCAACCCAACCCAACCAACCCAACCCAACCCAACCCAACCCAACCCAACCCAACCCAACCCAACCCAACCCAACCCAACCCAACCCAACCCAACCCAACCCAACCAACCAACCCACCCAACCATCTGACCGCCCAACCAAGCCAGCAACCAACCAACCGACCAAGCAACTGTTTGGAGCAACCCTTGACCTGACAGTGGACACCAATCTGCCAGGAGCCCCGGATCTTCCGGGAGAAGGTCCGCGCCAGGACGGGATTTGGAGTTCCCTCATCTTCTTTGTCAACTATCCTTCGCATGTTCTGAGGTTTGCAGGTGTGTTGGCTCTGTTCAAAATTAGGGGCTGCAAGAAACGGAGTTCTTCCATTTGCTGCTGGTTTGTTGGAAGAGAATCGATTTCACTAAATGTGGTTATGTTTTCCAGGGGACTGAAGGACATTGAGGAAGAGAAGACCACTTTTTGTTCAAAGAGGGTCATATTGAATGGGAAGGAGATCCTCTTGTGAAATGTCTACCAGTATCACAGCACCTTTTGGTTAAAAAACATGTTTCTTCCTTTTGCTTCAAAGGTTAACCCCGGAGAGTTATTCAATCATTTTGCATTTCTCCAACCCAAAGGGAACCAGGTTAAAACTTGTGGTGCAGGCACCCAGCGTGCAGCTTTTTGCTGGGCCAGGATTCGCCTTGAACAGTCACCAAACATCTTTGGTCTGGAAGGCGGAGGGTTTGTTGTGGTCAACACGTGTGTTATGAATAACAACGTTGAGCGTCGACTTCGCTTTTGTTGGTTCCTGGAGCACTCTTCGTTACATAAATTTCTGCCCTTAGCCCAAACGTATTGCAAAACCAGGGGTCGTCACCACAATATGGTAAACGTACACTTTTCCTGCTTCGAGCGTTTTTCCCAAAACCGGGCTGGTCGGTCCTCCAAGATGATCGGTCGCTGAATATTCAAAAGGAGCGAGCAGAAATTGAAGTGCAAAACGAGCGCAAATATCCGCAAAACGAGCGCAAATATCCGCAAACGAGTGCAAATTTAAAAACAAACACGTAACAATCCCGCCTTCGAAGAAGGGGATGTGGTCGAGCGTTTTTGGGGGGGGCGAGAATCTTTTTAGGGGGTCGAGCAGAAATCGGTAATTCGAGCATTTTTTTTCTCGTACCTAAAAAAGGCACGTTGGGTGCCACCAATGGCAGTTAGAACAAAATATGTCAAGCACGAGTCACAGTGCTTGGCTCCTGGTTTTCATGAGCCTGGTCAGCCTGGTTGTGTACTCTCTTTTCAGGAGTTCTGTCGTAGACTACTCCGTCACAGGAACTTTGAGTGGGCTCCATTTCAGGCACCCTGTTTGTTTTTCGGGGGGGCATGTGTGCCCTGTGAACGCTGGGACTCCAGGGGCTTGAAAGCGATCGCGGCTTGCAGGAGCTCACAAGCCCGGCGCCTGACTGTCCGACAAAGACACGGCATGTCGACTGCGAAGTCTGTGCTGGAGCTTCAGAGAAAGCAGGCCCTTCGTGTGCTGTCTTCGTATTTGAATCTTTTGCTTGGCGCGCTACCGGCGCCTAGCGCAGGACCACGCTGCTCCGGCGGACATTCTGCCCAGTGAGGCGGCGATCCTGAGGTACTTGAATTGGCGGTGCCGCCAGGGCGTCTCGTATGACGTCGCTGGAGAGCTTTGGCGCCTGCTTGGGCCGCGGGCGTCTGGGTTGAGGCCGGGCCTGTAGTGTTTTTTTGCGCGGTTCGGGTCGTTGAGGCTCTCGGAGGTAAGGCGGCTGCGTTCTGGCCTACACAGGCCGCACGGGAGCGAATGCAGCGTGTGGGTCTGGGTGGCTTACTTCAGCTTCAAACAGCTTTGTCTCTATCTGGGAGGAGGGTTTTGTAATTTTGAATCTGCCGGCCTGCATTTGCACGACGTGCTTTGCTGAGGCCAGCCGCCGGGAGCTGGTGGCCACCTCCTTTGAACAGTCCGCGACGCTGCGGTCCCTCCACAGGACCGGAGAGGGATTCGGAATCCAAGCTGCTCATGTTTTGTTTTGTTCCTCTGGCAAAGTCACATGAGCACAAACAACGGGGTACCCCTGATTCGGCGCCAAAAAGGAAGGAGGCGAAAACCAGGTTGCTGTTGCAGCTGTGTCCAGACACCGGGTAATTTCTGAACCCCTTGTGGCTGCTTCTCCTTTTCCGCAACCAGGTGGTTGTTGCTTTCAAGGATTCACTACTTGATTCTTTGCAATTCAGGGGTCACGCCTTGCTTCAGCTTCACGCTCTGTCTCTGAGAGGAGGGCTCTCAGAACAACAGCAGCACACAGAGGAGTGGCTTGGGCGGGATTGGCGGCGTTGGCTTGGCTCTTCGCTTTGTAACTTTGAGGCATGCGGGCCTGCGTTTGCGCGACGTGCTTTCCGAAAACTAGGTGGCTGTTGCGACTATATATCTGGACACCGGGTACTGAGTTCCTGGTTTTCGGGCAGTAGGGAGCCATGGCTGCTTCTTCTTTTCTGCAACCATGTGGTTGTTGCTTTCGAGGACCCACCACTAGATTCTTGTAATTCAGGGGTCATGCCGTTGATTATCCTTTTCCCGCGCTTAGTTAGTGATCTTGTTTTTCTGGAAGCTGGCGGCGAATCCTTTAAATCACGAGCCATATGGTAGAGTTTTCTGTTTGCTTGCAGGCCGCCCGCCAACTGCATTTTCCGATCTCCGGGTCCAGGCGAAGTCAAAGAGGGCGTCGCGCCACAGCCAGCCCACAAAAACCAGTCCTCCGTGTGCTGCTTCTCCTTCTCTGCTGCGTGACCAACCTCCTCCCAGAGACAGAACCATGCTCACCAAAAGCAGAATCAACAACCTATTTCCTGAAACTCAACACTCGAGCAACATTCAGGTTCTGCGATTTGCTCCTCCCCCCATGACTCCTCGTTCCGGGGCTTCTTGTCCCTGGAGATGTTGAAGCAGGCAGATGGAGACTATGTGACCGAAGCGTTGCGGACCCCCCGGTGTAGACATGGCAAACTAGATGGCGCCGGTACAGCGCAGCGCTTTTTTCTGATCCATGCCCCGAATAAAAATTCGGCCTGAGAAGCCTAAGGGGGTTTGAGATGCGGACGCGTCCAAGCCACGAGCAACATGTTCTTGGAGTTCGGCGCACGGCGGGGTATTTATTGTAGGTTTTTTTCCGCTTTTGGCTTCTTGGCTTCTTGGCTTTTTGGCTTCTTGGCTTCTTGGCTTTTCGGCTTCTTGGCTTTTCGGCTTCTTGGCTTCTCGGCTTCTGGGTTTTTCTGCTTTTTGTTGGTTTATGCGGCTTTTGGTTTGGCTTTTCGCATCCTCTGCATTCCCAGTTCCTCTTCGGCAGGTGGCGTTTTAGCTTTTGCGGCTTTTCGCTGGTTTATGCTTTTGGCGGCTTTGGCTTTTCGCATCCTCTGCTTTCACAGTTCCTCTCTGGGCTTTTTGGCTTTTGCGCCCTTTCAGTGGTTTTTGGATCTGGCTTGCCGCATCATCAGCATCACCAGCTCCTCCCTATTTGAATCATCACTTCTTCGCACCCAACCCGCCCGCTACTGTTTAGACTGTTTGCAGAGTAATTGCACCCCTATTTGAATCAACACTTCTTCAAACATCATGGGGGGTGCTGCCGCCCCCTCCCAGCTACTTTTTAGATGTCTTGCAGGGGTTGAATTGCACCCCTATTTGAACCATCACTTTTTCGAGCGCCCAATTTCGCGAGAAAATGCGTAATCTGTGTAATCCATGAATGTCTGTATGTATTCACTTCCTCGAACATCATAGGGGAAGCCACCCCCGCCAACCCTCCCGCTGCCTTTTAAATTCTATCGCACCCCCTTCTTGAATCATTGCACCCCTACTTGAAGCATCACTTCTTCCGACATCATGGGGGGGCTGCCGCCCCCCCCCCCCAACCCCCCCGCTACGTTTTAGTTTTTTCCTGAGGCACCCAACGTGCCTTTTTTTTGGTACGAGAAAATGAAAAAACACTCGAATTACCGATTTCTGCTCGACCCCCCGAAAAAACGCTCGCCCCCCCCTGAAAAACGCTCGACCACATCCCCTTCTTCCATCCAGAGGTAGGCGGGATTGTTACGTTGTTTAAAAGAGGGGTGTTATCAACAAGGGTGAAGGTTTCACCTAATTGATTGAGGAAGCCACTAAAAGGATGACATTTCAACCACTAAATGGGACAAGTTGACCGAACGGAAAGTTGATGTTTTTCTCGGACGTCCAAGCGGCAGACATCCAAGCGGCAGTTTCGCGCCGGAGGACCAGTGAGGGCGTGGAGTTGCCTGAGGGCTGGACAGAGTATCGCTCCCCAGCCCGGGGCGCTGGGGCCTGAGAGGAGAAGGCCTTTAGGGGATGAGGGGCCCAACCAAAAGCCCCCTAGACGGACAGGAGTCATACTGTGGATGGAGGAAATCCATTTCGCACCGCTGGGCAACTATAGGAAATATTGTTTGTTGGTATTTACAGGAGAATCCAGGGTTTCTCAAATGGTGCAGGATTTCGCCCATCTACAGTAGGATGTGCCGTTGGAAAAACTACAGGTGCGGAAAACACCTCCATTTTTGGTGAAGAGTGACATCATTTGACATCATAAAAGTGGGTTGGCGCAAGATGGCGTAAGGGGTACCTCCAAGAGGACAGCACTGGGTATTGCATACAGACATACTGTGGATGGACGAAATCCACAAGCCGCACCAACTAGGTTGGTTCTCAACAGTAAGGAGCAATGCTGTCAACACTTCATTACGTAGCAGGCCCGACGTCCGAGCTTTGATGCAGCAGTATGCCTCCTACACCGCCCACGTCCGGCGCTCCGTTTACTACGACCCGGTCATTGCGCTGGTGCTTCTGCAGCTGGAATCAAGAAGTCGTTGCACCTATTTCACCTGCGCGAACGACTGGGCACCACTGCTTCAGGACGATGGTAGCCCTCTCAATTTGGTGCACCCGTTAAGGGCTCCTGAACTCTCGCACCTATTGGCTTTCCTCTCCTTCTACCACTATCCCACCTAGGTCCCCCAGTTAGGTGCCCTTTCTCACCCATTTCCTTTTGGGTTGGGAGGGTTCCCGTACCAAGATAGACTACAGAAACAAAATTAGTACCCTTATTCTAACCTCTCTACTGGAGGACCTAGCCACATTTGAACTCTCTAGGAGCCAATGGCAAGCTTGCACCGCGTATCGATTGGTTACAATTTTCTTCGCTTCTGCCGCCCAGGCGGCGTGGAGCAACTTTTTGTCGCTCTGTTTTGGACAGCCCTTACACCTTTCTCAACTTTGAAGGTGTGCCGGACTATATCTGGTTTCCCATGGTCCTACGGTCCTACTCTTGCTGGTTTCAAGTCCTCATGGCACGATGAGGTTACTCTTCCGGTGATGTTTTTTTCTGTCAGCAATTTCACGTTGAGCCTAAAAAGGGGTCTATTCCGAAGACCCTAAAATGTCCTACAAAGAAGTTCGAGGGAGTGGATTGTCTCGCTTCGAGGTCTACTATGGCCATGTCACAGGCGTTACTCAGTTCGACCTGCCGCGGGGAGCGCCCTCTCAGGAGCAGGCGGAGTCGTTTGGGGGGTTGCCAGGCTCGCATTTGGGAACCTTTTTTTCCCCAAGCGGTGTGTCAACACTAGGGAACTGTCAAGCATGACATCGACCCCATGTGAAGTCAAATTGAAATATCCGTCCCTTGCTGTTTCCAGAGCTTGCCCAATACTGTTTGGGGTCTCTTGCCGGTGTATTTTTGAGGCTACCCCTTGGTTTTGACGGGAATCAACTGGGCTGCCAAAGTTTGGGGCTTCTTCCCTAACGACCTAGGGCTCATGTGCCACCTGCCGGGGGAGGGGCAATGCCATGTCCCAAAAGCCAGCATGCTTAGGGACACTTGCTTTTGGTGAGATGCGGCCTGTTTAGCCCCCCAGTCACTTACTCATTGTGGGGTTTGCCTACTTTTAAGGGGCACATGTTTGCGAAACCCAACGTTTGCGTGCTTGGTTTTGACGGGAGTCAGGAATCAATGGGCAGCCACAGTTTGGGGCTCCGCGCCAGGTCGACCGTGCTGAAGCTGAACGTGGGCAGAGGTACCAGCACAGGACGGCGGATTTTGTCCAGTGGATTTGTGCATTGAATCCAAGGTAGGGTGCCATGCAAACATGGCAAGATCATGTGTAAGTGATTTTGTCCATCGAATCCAACGTAGGGTGCCATGAAACACGGCAACATCTGCGGAGCTTAAGAAGATAGGCGAGGCCTTTCAAGCACTCCGGTCCAGCAAAGTAGCGCGTGTTTTGCACTTCAAGAAAAGCAGCTGACCAGATAATGGGAGCGGATGGGAAGTCTCTCAAGGTCGCCGCTGGGCAAGTTCCGCCTTTCGCCAATCGCGTGCTTTGAAGCCAAGCAGCAAGAGGAGTCGCTCGAAGAAAGAAGCTGGATCACGCTGGTCGTGGATCTATTGGCTCAGCCCAAAGCAAATCGGCCGGATCTGACCTTTTAGCCTTCTCATAGATTCCCAATTTTTGTTTGTCTTTCATTTGGGGGGGTCAATTAAACAACTGAGAATGGAGCGCCAGAAGTTGATGTTCCCTCGTCCGCTCAGGGCATTTTTGTTTTTTTTGCTCCTGGCCGGGGGCACTTTGCCAAGTGCCACGTTGGAACAAACCCCCCGCAGGGCGATTTTCCGGCAGTTGGCCAATCCGATTGCTGAACTTGAAAGTTGATTTGCTGAAGAGATGCTTAGATGTCCTCATGCGCTATTGCACATACACATGATTATATAAATATTATACATGTATGCAAATGTATTTTTTTCTGAGGGATTTGCTTGGCATGGCGTTTGATTTACATCCTCAAACTGGGCAATTTGAACCGGTCGCCATGAAGCGCCCCAGCGCGCGGAGCAACCAAAGGACCGGGAGTTCTGGAGGGGCGGGGCACTGCCTCACTGCCCGCTTGACTCTGGGTGAATTGTAACGACCTCACACGACCGAATTCACCCCAGATGGTGGCTTATGTGGGGAATAGGCCCCCGAACCAC